CACTCGATCGGTTCTGCAAACGGTCATCTGGTAGTCGTAACAATACTAATGTATCCTACATAATTGTCCAGGCCTCACCATCAGATCTCAAAGCATGGGTAATATTGTAGTTTGCTCACACCTTCCTTTAATTTCACTGTTTTGGCTGGCTACCCAGTCAGTAGCGCACTAAGGATGAATTGATAATTATTCACGAGGACATTAAAGTAATGATCCTCCAGTTTTCCTTATTTTGCATACGATACTCTTAATTCTGATGATTTTCGGCAAAACGCATCTAAACGGTTCTCTTCTGTGCAGTTGAGTAACACCCAGAACTGTATTCGTTTACCACTGCTTGCGCAACAGTGTTATTTGGCTTTTCGTCTGTTAGCTACGACACCCTCTGGCAAGTATTCGATATGCGAACACTCGTGATCTATCGTCAAGGCCAAGCACTCGATACACGACCAATCCCCGGTGTTCTCCCGGAGCTCACTGAGGTTCGGTGCTCGTGGTATTCCACAGTGCCTTTGTGATCAATCTGTAAGGCACAGAAAACGAACCAACATGAGCCATAGGTTCAGTGAGACACACGACTCACAATTAAATCAAAATAGCCGCTTCAAGGCTGTTTACTAGCACAACCCGCAGGTCATTTGTTTGGCCTGATCGACTCTTCGATAGACCTCTCTGTTCGAAGTGAACACCACAACAGTTAGAGCTTTGAATCGGCAGGAAGATCGCTCCTGCAACTGATTCATGGGTTAACTAATGTATCTCGGGGGTTAGAGAAATAACTACAGTATATTGCTTGTTAATCAAACAGAAAACCCTCTAATGTGCAGCTGCTCCCTGTCATCTTTCAAGCTCATTCACATCAAAATCTGGTAGCTAATCCAAATTTACCTTCTTTAAGAAGTGTACGAACAATATTGAATCTGCCTATCGGTTTTCACTTTGACCTTCTTGGACGGTTTTGTTAGAGATTCCAAATGGAACTTTCATTGCGTTCAGTACTTCGAGTCTATTACTGTCTTACAGCACCTTTCACCTTAGAAATTGTTTACAATTGCAACAGTTCTCAAACGTGCATATGGTGGTGAAAAAGACATGCATCAGTATTGCGCTGATATCACAATCGATAGCTTCGGTAAAAGCTCAGAAATAAAAGACTGGGACGTTGGCATAAAGGCCGCACTGTCTTGATCTGGTAACCTAAACAAGATATCTTTTCAATTTTTTAGTTCAAAAATATATTACGTAGGATTCATCCGAGACGTATCACTTCCTGTTCACGTCTACTTTATCTGTCTGGCGGGCACCATGTGAGTGTTGGAAAACGACGTGAAGACGAGGTGACCGAATAAACAGGGACACTGTCTGCGCACCGACATTGGTGTCATTCTTATCATGTTGCGTTATCAACGAATGCGTTTTTGCAGTTAGAATTTGTTCGATCGTGTGTGAACTAGTCGAACCAATCCCTATCGACATATTTAATGTATTCATGGTTTGTTTATATTGCTAGCTTGATCGTCATCAGTGCAGTTCCTGTCATGGCATTTCGCTGCACAAATACAGTGATGCTATTACGGCTTCCTCCTCATTCATTGCAAACGAACGACAGATTATGGACTAGCTAAATGAAAATCGCTGTGTAGCTTTTCTTCTCGCGTATCACTTCCCAGAGGATCGNATCGCAGCGCCTTATCCTGTGTCATACCAACGTGATTTGGCCTCTTCGTGCTTTACAGGAACAGCCGAATGAGCCCAATTAACAAAGTGAATCAATATTGGCCAGGGATAACAGTTGCAGAACAAAACACTGATTCCCACGGGCAGAGTACTGAAAAACAACAGCCTATTTGATAATCAAGTGTAACAGTTAGTGTGCATAATCGTCTACCAAGTAGCCTGTAGGATCTTGTGGTGCTAAGAGAAAAACTCTTGAGAAGCACTGTCTCAATATTGCCATATGATCGAAACAAGTAATGTGGATACACGTGCGTCAGGAATTCTCGTACACCAAATAGCCAATCTGTTGCAGACAACCAATAGTTAAAAATTACAGATAAATAGCGTTGAGGTCTGCGTAGCCTGAATCGTGATGTGGTGCACAGTTTAATTTCGATCCGTGTACACACGGGTGCATCTATGCATTGACTGCAACTTAGATAGCAGTGAGATGTTCTGAGGACAGTCTAGTTGATGTAATTGACACAACCAATCAATACTCCACCAGAGCTTGGTTCCATCTATACAGAAATCTACACTATTTGTTCACAAGCCGTTTAAGAATCTGACCATTTGATACACGAGAATTCCTGATACACCGGTATATCAATAACTTTGTTTCATTCAAATGGTGATGTTGAGCGAGGTTACACTTTTGGAGAGGTTCAAGTTTGAGCTTATCACTTCCTCAATATGCGTTACATTCTTCGTTAAGTTCAGTAGTGCTCCACAAGTATTCTATATGCTTTCTATTTTATCTTATGTGCTCACATTTATCAACTTCTGCCTCTCCACTCGCTGTGCTACCTACCGCAAACGTTGTGATATCGTAACAGTTCGGTGGAATCTTTCAAATCAATTAGAGGTAGTTTGGCTGCATAGCACATTTAATTGTTCTGAGGAGCTTGATTCGAAACAAAGACTTTCGTCTGTTCCGTCAGTTGAAACCAGCCCCATATCACATAGTGCTGTATCTCTCTACATCCTCGGTCTTAGATCGCTTACGACTGTTTTTGCATCGACACACATCTAGTCGATTGCATAGTTCTCTGTGAAAGAGGCTGACTGATTACATGTTTGTTTGGCCAGAGAAGAAAGGAGTTGAAAACAAATTTGGCTGAGTTTGGTAGACCAAGATGAGCTCGTCAGCTCGCTACGTTCAATTTCTTCATACTCTGGCAGACAGGAATTTTGTCCCAATTAAAACCCTCAAAATCAATGCATCCGAAATATACAGTAGGCTGCCTCTGTAATTACTCTCCGTTTTTTTAATCTAGCTCCTCACCCTTCTTCCATATATCATCTGCGCAAAATCCTAAGGTTCAGTTCTACTACTTTGAACAATTTACTTCTTTCTTCATTGATCAACCGAAAGGGTAAAATAGCAACCAAAACCAGTGCGTGGAGGTGCAGGATCAAATGTATTTTTAATTTTACGGCACAATCTTGTTATGAGCAGCGAATGGCAATAACGGTCGGACAATCACGGCCCATGAACTGGACGAGCGCTGGAATGGGCAATAGCCCAATTCACGCCAAACCAGTCAGAAATACCCATTGCAATCCTAGGACTATCGGAAAACCGCTCGGAAGTACAATCCTGGGACTCAGCCATGAAGAACATGGAAGGTAGACCTTCAGCCAAAGTGGTATATTTGGCGTGACCCCAGGACGATTGCAACGGACATCTCATCTGTTTATATACATTTTACGGACGGTTATAGGTGACCTTGAAAATTAATCCAAAAGCCCAAAGTTTTGGAGAAATGAACCATCATGGGAATGCATGGCAGTATCGCGGAATGAGGCTTCTTGGAAATTACAATAAAAAGAGAGGTTGTTTAAAGGTAGATAACGTGGTCAATTATGAAGGGAAAATAGGCTTTTCTTTGTCAAATCCTAGATGATAAGTCGGTTTCATATACCACATTGACCCTCAGAGAGTCGGAAATACGATTACAAACGGTTTTCCCCAGTACCCTCCAACCTTTCTAATGGAGAGTGTACCTGTGGTAACCTGAGAGTCAACAGGGTCGTTCCGAACAAGCCAGTAGTTTAGATCGTTCTCCTTCTCTGTAAAGCCTTTTCCAACAGACGTGTTGGTTCTCAATGGCGTATTTCACTCAGCACATCATAATGCAGCTGTCAGAACGCGGTGGCATTTTATATAGCGGTCACTTGCCAAGAAAAAACCCAATCACGTCCTCAGACATTTCCGCTGATTCCATGAGCCTGAGTTCACTTTATTCACGACTAGCTATTGAATCGATGGCTGTTTCCCCTATCCACGACCGGGGAACTTTAACTGCGGGTCAATTTACACAAACCAAACTGGGTGCCTCCGCTCTTTCCTGTGTCGATGGGTTTCTCACTGAGTATCAGTTCCGAATGCATATTAGCTATCTGGATCCTGATGACCATTCACTCCATTAGATTGCTGAATAAAAATGCACAAGAGCACATAAAACTACTATGTTTCTGTCCTATCAATCTCTCTGTCCGCAGACTGAACCTGTATTAGTTTCTGCATCTTCAAAGTGCGCGTTCAGTGAACATTGGGATTAGTTCTGAAAAGACGAATACCTAAGTGACGGATTTGCTGTCACATCAACAGTGGTTTTCAGACTCAGTATTGTGAAAGTTTTTGGAAATTTAACTGCAATCAAATTGTCTATCCGCGCAATCATCCACGGTAGAAGCGGAACAAATTTTATAACAATGCATCAGTCATTGATCGAAACAAGCTCTTCTCGGTTTGTGTTTATTTGCTTCTAGTGAAGACTGGATTTCCTCCGCAACGCATCGATTCCGCGCATGCTGTCGACCTCCCCGGCTTGGTTAAGTGGCAGCTGCACCATGCTATCCGAAGGCCTGTACCGCCCTCGAGAGGAAGTCCCAAATCCCCCAGTCTTGCGTCTATCTGTCAAGAATTCTCATCTCTTTCTTAAGCAGTGTATTTGCAACATTCCGAGAATCCATTCTTTTCAGTTAATCGTGACAAGCAAGCAGCTGATTTACGGTACATCAATTTTTCCCCGGTGATAAGCCTTTCTCTCTGTGCCAAAGTATGTGTAGAGAGCTGGCGGTTTCGGGATAATTTTTTTATTTGCATACATTTCTACTTTGATAATACATGGCTAGTCCTAACGCGAATTTCCTCAAACATTTTTTCTTTTACCTTACGCTTAGTTGAGTTTAGTACCTTCCTTCCTCTTGCTTAATAAGCAAACTTTTTCACATTTGACCACTGCATGAAGTTTTTTATTCCACTTTCTCACTTTCAGTACAACGCATTGAGCAATCTGTTCTCTATCCCTGGAGCAAATTTCTGCCCTTCCTCGACCTCCGGATCTAACTCCACTTCATCTGGGTCATCTCAAACTGACTGTTGGAATCCTCCGATGCTAACAGGGTAAGTTCAATACCGAAAAAAATTATCAGAACTACATTTCGAATTATGGTCATAAAATAGGCTTATCATCAAATGTCATAGTCTTCCCGTATCTTTCCTTGTATCTGAAGATAAAAGTAAACTTCTAATTTCAGTAATCACATTGTATCTCGGACGAATCGAATCACCCCAACGAGACTAGACTGAAATCAAGCACCTGAGTTTTCCTCGAACCCAGATTTAAACTACTCACTACTAGGTAGTAGTCATGTGTAGAAAAGACAAAATGTCCTAGGCTGAACGGAATTCAGAATGCATCACATCCTCGATCGTGCGTCCGAACTCGTCACGATATTGAGATTTCCATAGTCCATCATTGAGTAATGAACAACATATTAATTGAAGCAAACTAAAGTGTCATCTTAGGGCTTACTCTCGAAGAGCGAACAAAAAACGAATCTTTACTCTATGCCTCCGATTAATGACCTTAAATTGAACCAATGGCTATTGTTATGTAAGCATTTTTCCACCACGATATGCGAGAGCATGACTTGGAATATCCGAAAACAGTTGTCCGCTAATATACTGGTTCCATCAGTGGTATTATGGGAACATTCAAACTTTTAAAAACGAGCTTATTGTCCCGGTTCCCCCCGATTTTACTATGGAAACGCTCCAAGGGGGAACACGAATTATATACTGGGACTCCGACAAAGATCGTCTCTCGTTGCTGTTGCTAAAAGCAGCTCGTAGACCTTCGTGTTGAGGCAGATTTCGAATTTAATGAATTTCTCTATGACTATTTTAGGTCATTCAAGTGTTTCATAAAAGATCGTTGGAGCCATGTGACAGCGTTGGTGGATAATCAAGAAGCCCATCCATGCTTTCCGCTCACATTTGATTGTGACAGCAGTTAATACCTGCATCGGCAGCTCTTGTAATTTCACTTTTTAACTTTAACCTTTTGGGTGGCAGTACTGCTAGCTGCACTTAACAGTCACTGCAACTGCCACTACTTCAATTGAACCTGCAGCAACCACTGATCGCGCTGTACCTGTCAACGAGATCATTAGATCTTGGTGAGTCATAGTTAACGGTTAACAGTTTGCTCAATAACGGATTTCCTGTGGAGAAGACTGTTTCGTGTTCCGGTGTGGAGAGAACACTGATGGACGAACGGAGATGACCACGGACTTATGTGGTACATGAATTCATCGCTACCATGGCGAAGATCAAAGCGTACCTCGTTAAATAGGTGCTCAACCCAACCTTAAATACAATCAAAAAATGTTAACGTAGTGTTTTTATCATATGCCATTTGTTTCCTCTGCAACACGAAAACACATGTAAGGAAGAAGCAGAAACGTTAACTATGGGAAAAGAATGGATCACTGAGAGGTTTCAATGGGGAATGAAATTCCGCTTCTGCAGAATTTTAAATGGAACCTTAGTGGAAACACTGAACTAACTGTGTAACATGTCCGGCACAGAAAAGACAGCCGGTCAAATTGGATAGCAATGAACAAAGCACGTGACTTGATAAGCGCAATTTGGTAGCTTACTCTGCGACTCCATGATGGGATAGATCCAATACACGTTACTAAAGAATTATCACTGTGCAAAATATCTTACTGCATTAGTAGTCCGTTGCTGACTTTATACCGGAGACAACAATGCAGGGAAAACTTCACAGTTGACCTCTTTTGAATGACAGGAACCCTTCGGAAGGAAATTGGGTGCTGATAAATTGCACTGTTCTATTGGTTGACTTTCCAGTGGTGAACAATTTTGGTCGAGCCCGACTATGTTTAACCCACTTGAGCGTGTGCGTTTATCAATTGGATCTCATGATAACACACAGTCCTTGCATCCTTTCAACTTAAATCAAGTCAGGTGAAATGTTCGAAAAGATTAATTTATAAGCTGAATGATCGATGGCTTTTTGTTTTCCCACCTTACTGACCAGGTTTCCCTTTCAGATAAAGCTTAATGATTCTGTTTTTTTTGTTATCGTTTCATACTTTTCCGAAATTATACGGTGTGGTCAAATAACGGCTTTACGTTGTTGCTTTCGTGTATACTCCAGAGCCTCTCCGCATCATGGAATCTCAGAAACATTCAGACAGTTGAGCGAGGCCACAGAACGTCTGCATCAGGCCTCAGCAAGTAACGGTGACCCGGAGGCACTGATTATCCAAGTGCCATCCACCATGCATCTTGCCATGGGTGGTTATTCACCGCAGTTACCTTACAACAGTCCATATGCAGAGCAGCAGCAACAGCCCATTCAACCGAGCAATGGCGCAATGGGACAGTGGCGTCCACCAGCACATCCTCCCGTTCCCAACACGTTCCATTCAAACGATGCTGTGCCTCCGAGTCAAAGTGATATGGCAAGTTTGTAGCGCTCGTTTTGATAACAAGAACCACTCCTTTAACTGAGATAAAGACAGTATAACAAAATAAAACGGTATGTATTCAGAACTATCTAGTGACTAGAGTCTGTCCTAGTAGCAAACTAATTGTCGTATAGATATATTTTGCTGCAATAGGTAATAATAAAGATCAATTGAACGTTTCGGAATTCATGTCTAAGATCGGCTTGGTGGCTTTAATTAACAGTACAATTGTTGTCCACTAAAATAAAACGGGTTTTATATCATCCCGGTGCTTGTAAGAACGGCGATGCTTTTAGCTAAATCGCATCGTGCTTCTGTTCCGAAATTTAAGAAGCAGGTCAGCATATGTTGTGGGGACCAAGTATGAGATAAGCTTAAAACTGATGTGGAAATCGTCACTGGACCGATTGCTTTTAATTGAATGAGCAGTGTTATGAGAAACAAAGAATCAACTCGTTCAGACCTGGTGCTGGCACAGTGGTTTAGTCGCTGTCACCGGCGTGCTTTGGACCCAATCGTCCGAGATTCGAGCCCCACCACCGCCATCCAATTTTGGTAGCAGGCAGCTCTGCTACCGTCCGGTCCACTACCACACCTAACCTATCGGGGCCTTGTGGTTCGCCACTCCAAATCCCGGGGCTTAGGTTGCCGGTTACCATCACTGAACAGCCGTTCCTCGTGAATATGGGGCTTTCCCCGTCTGCTGTTCATCACACGAAAGTGTGTAATAAAAAAGATGAGTAATCAAATCATATAATCGCTTTACGCTTCTTGGCGGATGGTTATTAGACAACCAACGAAGTGCTGGGCGAAAGTGTTTGCATGAGCTGAAGAAATCAGTGCTGAGACTGTTGCAAATCATATTGCTTCTCTATCGATTTACTGTCCACTCAGTTTGCTCATTTCTCCTTCCTTTGTTGCCGTTGCGTTTGGCAGAAATCATTGAAGTTCAAATGCCAGTTGACATCGATTATCGGGACCTAGTAGGTTGAAGCACTTGGTTCCGGTTTGAGCTTTCTCTCTCTCAATACACAGATTGATTAACCAAAAACTGGAAGTTGGTCAGAACCAAAGTGTTTTGCTCCTGCCTCAGTACCGGTCAAACAGGACCCCCCTGAGCGAATAGACGTCACTACTATCCACGTGAATGCGCAGCAACTTTCTTTGATCTTATTAATGCGTTCTTCGTTTTCGGCCGTCTCCAGCCTGATTTTGATAATATGCAGGTTGAAAAGGTAGCTTTTTCACTGTTACCAAGATGAACAGAGCACCGATTGAGACCACAACTTGATTCAAAACATCACTTCGCTGTTCTAACTGATTACCATCATTGATTTATGAAACTGCGATATGCACCGTGCAAATCTGTTTTCGAATCAGTTTATCAGTTTATTTGATACTCCGTGTATCCGTCTCCCACTTCTCTTTCACGCCAGTTTGTTGGAAGTGGTACCGGTCCACAACCTGGTGATCATCTTCCGTCCATAGAAAACCAAGCACCCCAAGACTTCTACGCCCATCCATCCAGTCAGGCTCCGGTTGACTACGCACCACCACAACCTCCGATGCCACCGCAAGCTCCAAGTCCACCTCCTGCGCCGGAGCCGGTGGACAATCCCGGTAGCGGTCGTGGTGGTTACTACGAAACCGGGTCTTTTTATGAATCTCCCGGACAACCGATGTCACCAGAACGGACTGACTTGTCTGAATCGGGTCGAGATGGAGATGAACTTGAGGAACCGATCCATGTAACGACAGCTGTAGTGCCTTCCGTGGTGAGTACAGTTGTGGACAAACCGAACACCACTAGTACTAGTCGTCGTACAAGTCCAGCAGTTGTATCTACTCGGACAACTACTACCACAACGGCCGCGACAACAACCACCACTACTACTACTACTACAACTACTCCTGCTACAACCACCACCACCACGACCACTGTCAAACCAACTTTAAGATCATCGACAACAACCACAACTACGATGAAGCCACCATTAACTTTTGACGATCGATCACAAACCTCACTCCCATCTGTAGTTGTTCCACCCGGTAATAGTTGGCGCACACCTGAACAAACTCGGGGCGGTTCGATCGAACCACCAAAACCGTTTGGTCCTAACCGTCCCGCATTGGAGTCACATTCGAATTATGAATCTCCCTTACCCGACGATGAAGACAGTTTAGCACAGCCGGGTGGTGTACAACCGCCACCGATGCAGCCTCCCCCACCTCCGCAACAGGCGAATCAGCAACAACAATGGACCGGTACCGGCGGTGCACCGGCACAGGGGTCTAATCAACCAGTATGGTGGGAGGTAGGTCATACATTTGCCAGTACTCCCATTTTGATGTGCTGGTGTTAACATTATCGTTTTTCTGTTTGACTAAATGCTATTTTGCATCCCTTTCGTACTATACACACTTGAAAATCATGATCCATAATTACAGTACACAAGTACGAACCGTTTCAAATTTTATCATGTGCTTTGTTGACGATGGCATAACCCGTAGCCAAATATCCCTTTAAGCGTATAAATACGGGGCTCAGTATGTGACTCAATTTACAGTACTTTCACGATAACAGCACAAATTCTATCTTCGAAATTTCGTTCCCATATCAAAAGATGAAACCTTGTTTTTGACTCCTCCCCGCCCGAGAGAACTATGAACAGGATGTAGTAACTGCATGGTTATTCAAAAGTTCTTTAAAATGAAAAAGCGAATTAAACAGTCAAATAACCACAGGTGATCCCAACCGAGGTTTGGAAGCACCACGGTATTTCAAGAGCCGAGTGATGCAGCTAGTCACCGCATCCCTTCAAACTGCACTTACTAACCGCTTCGACAATTCCAATGTGATTTTGAGCAAACGGATTTTAAAGGAAACCGAACAGTCTTGTTTTCGGTGACTCATCAACTGACTACTTTATATGTTAATATTGTTCAACAAGACCAGTTATATCCGGTTCGTGGAACTGATACAGATAGAAAATATATCTCCACCACGCCATTCATTGGTTTTCCTTTTTTCTATGCAAAATGATGCTAGTCAAATGTGATGTATTAGTCAGTTGATGAGTCACTGAAAACAAGCTTGTTGGCTAATCCGCGCTTTCTTTCAATATGGCATTGGTACATTACGGAAGTGAAAACGAACTGATTTCGACTAATACCACACTCTTGCTTGCATGTACCATTATCCAGTAGTAAATAAGCAAGACAGCTCTGTCGCCCCCTCTCCCTTTCCAGGTCTGATAGCACGCTTATCGTCTTCGTACTACGCACAACTCACCGACTTAAGTCCTGTTTTCGATTAGTTCGACTACACTGCGGTTTCTTTGTGGCACACACCTTTACAAAGCAGCATGTTCCCCCAAGCAAGATGTAATTTTGCAGGACACTGTATACTAAGTGAGGTAGCACTTTTATGGTCACATTCACCCCTTAGTATCCCGTTTTCCTATTTCTGATTTAACCAGCGCATATGAAATAAGTCCTCGAGAAATCCTACTACCAGACGTCCAAATTTTTCCGGTACCAAGCGCACTACGTATGGTTCGAATACAAATGACACAGTATGGTAGCGATCCTTTCACCAAGTTCGGGGGGACGAGAAAGCGGTTGCTTATGGCTAAGGTTGCACTCGGAAAAAACGGTACACCTTTTCCGAATAAGACCACTATGTTGTTTCATGCTGAGGGTCGCATGCATTCCATTCTAAATCTATGCGGTTCTCAGTGCGGATAGTTACAACCAGTTCTTAGTTGTTAACTACTCATCAACTACTGTTGCAAATTGACCTTTTTGTCACTCTACGTCTCCTTTAGAGTCCACAATCCGGTGGTAGCGGTTTCGGAGAAACGAACTACTATCAACCACAGCCATATCAACCTGTGGGTGTGAATCCACCCGAAACAAATTACAACTGGGCCCCCGGTCGTCCAGATACACCTCCATCTCCATATGGCTATATGGGTGGCAGTGGAGCAAAGCCTCCTGAAGAGGGACAGGTACCCGTTGAAGGACCAGGGGCACTAAAACCAAGTCCCGCTTTCCCGTACCAAGAACCACAGCCTGGAGGGACATTTGGACAACAGCCTGCTCCTGAATGGCCACAGCCCCAACCTCCACAAGAGTTTAACAATCTTGGTAACCAGGGCAGCGGTAGTTGGAGTGGTCCGAATACGGGAGCCTATCCAGGTAAGAAACCAAGGGATCCAACTTTCGCACTCGTTTCCGATGTTCAACTCCAAGCGTACATGAACATGTTCTCTTTTTTTGCATTTTCCTTTTTTCAGAGGGAATTACTCAGTGGCAAGATAACGCCCATGGAAGCGGGACGGCAGAAACTGTCGGTTACGCGCCGTCGCACGGTGAAAACATTGCACAGAATCAGCGTCCGGAACCGTTGCCCCAACCGCCGGTACTGTTGCCCCCAGTCAAAAAACCGGAACCACCCCTATCCCACCCGCCGATGCCTCCTCCAGAAGTCTGGGTTCCTGCACAGTTGGGCCCAGGACAGCCAGTTTCTTCTGTGCTCCTGGTACGCGAATACAATGTCCAAGGGCCATTCTATGGACCAGAGACCGTACATACAAAGCATAACTCGGCGAAAACTAAGCGCGCAATATACACCACGCCTATCCTTATCGCTGTTTTTTGCATATTGCATCTCCTTCCCTAGTCAACACTTGTTCAACCCGTACATCTATTTGTAAATAGGTAACCTGATTCGAATAGGAGCGCGCATTTTTTTCACTGCTTCTCATCGTTCGTCTCCTAACGCATGATCACTAATACCTCAACCATGAATCATTTGGACCAATTTTCGCTTTAACTCATCCCTCTGTTTGCTCTTGCTACATACACAACCAAAACTTGCGTGTGTATTATGCATGTATCCAACAAATAATGTATCCAGCTCGTTCGTTAGTCATTGTTTGTCAACTCGGTGACCGCGGTCAAGGGATGATTATGAGCAAAAGCAGAAGCTGTATCGACAGGTATCCAGTACACTCCATCTGTGTCAGTATCACTGTGACCACGGGGAGAAAATAAAAGCGGGTGATTATTAGGGAACCAAAATGACACACGAGGATAGCGCGTGGTAAGCAGGGCGACTGCTCGACAACCCTCGAAGTACGCAGGTGGCTCCAGGTCCGGAGTAGTAGATTGGGCACGCATAACCTCTTCCGTCAATTCTTCTGGGTTGCCAGGATAGGGTACGCATGATTCAAAAGGTTTGACAAAAAGAGAGCAGTTTGAATGATCGAAAACAGACACCATCGAGTTAAAAGATTCTGGGCTTCGTAAACGAGCCAGACGAAGTGCAGGCACGGGGCCACGAGCTTTCCAGTTAATAGTGGCCGGGGTCGCGGTTCGCGTACGCCAGTTGTACACCAACCCAGTCGAAGCGGGATAGTTGAGGAGCACACCGCGACGTGGACCCCGAGGGCACGAAAGCCAAACAGTATTGAGTTTCTCGACACAGAACAGTTTAACCACGAAGTTTCTCTCCGGGTCATGTAGCAACTGGCCTACTGTCACGAATAGTATTCGATAGTCTTGAATGCCTTCACTATTTACGCCTCCAAGTAGAAACACATCAGTGCAGCTTCGGTCGTTTAATTGATTGAAGAATGCTCTCGTCTGATGGAAGAATGACAACGCTCTGGCCGGTGTGTCCATATGACCGACCACACATGCCTTGCTAGAATGTAAAACGATTATGAGACAAGAAGTGGCGTCATCCGAGGCGACAGACGACGGAAGTGGGCTCATTGCATGATCCGGAGTTGTATTCTCATGGTCAACCCAAAGGGTCGCCATCTCCCCCTGATGAACGTATAGCAAGTCGGAGTCGCTCGAGATGAATCGCTTGCATCGGAGAAACAACTCGTTGTTTCTTTGGATCAAAGGAACAGTGAACAACCACTTCGTGGTCGTTATGATATCCGCTGAAGCGTCCCGAGACGTTTCGCCTGTTATTACCAGGACCATGGCATCCTAAAATGCTGAAAAGAAAGGTGGATGAGCGAGCAGGCGTAGGCAAGATACGGACGATAAGACGCGAAATCACAGTGATTATTTTATTTCCAGGGGATATTTACATCTGAGAGATATGGACAAGGTGATGCGCGCCTGAAAATCCATCACGTCGGATAAGAATACAAAAGAAAATACAATGTCATCTCAGGATCCAAAAATAGCGGAGGTTCTGAATTGCAGTAGGCTCGAGGAGTGACTTCATATTTACAGTGTTCCCCAGCTCTGTTAAAGAATGGCGGTGGTTGACCGGGGCATTTCGACATGCTATTAATATTCTACATCAGCACCACCCATTCAGAGGTAGTTCGACCGGTTTGGGAATCTGCGGGTGCCGAACCTGGTCTAAGTCAACTAGGGTAGACGGAGAGTCGTCCCGAAGCAACCATGACCGCCAATCTCTTAATAAAGAATAGAGACTGGAACGTTTAAACCTCAATGCTTCCGACATAACGAAGGAGACGGCGGCGTATCGTTGTCCCAATGAACCGGATAGCTCGTTTAAACGATGAAAAATATGCGACCCATCTGTGAAAAAGATAAAAAAAATCATGTTTATAGGTACTGACTGAAAGAGCATACGTGTATTAAAATCATGGACAGCAAAGTCACCTGTACAAGGTTGTCGGATAACACCCGTTAAATCTTGGACGATTTTTCGGTTTAGGATGANGATGAAGGCTTCATTCTCTGACACGGTTTTCCCTTTGCGTTTGGATAAAATTAGTTGAGAAGCAGAGCCCTTGGTACGATGCGCAATCAGAGTTGATTCATGAGTCATCGGGGAATCTGAAAAATTAGATCATCCAGTAAATACGCACTACCTGATGCATGATCCTTGATGTCCGGAGAACTTGAAGGTGAACTTCTGGGAGACGATTCTCTCCAATTTAAGTGGTTGATGTGAGGAGGAAGAGGTCCTGGAAAATAACGAACTGAAAGATTCGACGTACCTTTTGTTCTCACGACTGGACCTTGGGGATTCGGGGTTTGTTTTCGACGACTGGGGGGAACCAGTGACACATTAGGTCCACCAGGAACACCAGGTGAAATACCCATTTCGTCGACAAATACCTCATCGGCAACGAAATAGGCAGCATTCTTTTTACGGAATGGGTTCCCAAATGTATCTAGGCGCTCGGGGGCAGGATTTACTTCTCTTAACGGAGATTCAGAAGTGCGACACCCTTTGTAGTTGATATAATCGCCCATCTGGTTTACGGGCTGTTGATGAGTGAAATCATTTCGTGAGTTGAGACCAACACCATTCAAAACATCGTTTAACGTATGACGCATTTTTTTCAAAACCCTCCGAAGCTCTCCTCGCCGAATATCAGAAGCCCGACAGTAAGGCAAAACAGAACTGCGAGAGGTCAACTTATCCGTCTTGGAGCGTATTTCTCGAAGAGACCATAATGACACAGGAAGCAAAGCAGGTGGAAGCTGCAAAATATAAGGTCAGCTGAAATCAAATCTTACTCGGACGACAGGAATGATGCGTTCTTCGCTCTGAGTAATTCTGACGAAATTTTCGTATTCAATTTTGGCAGCATGTCGCAACTTCTGAAGAGAGTGCTTAAGTTGATAGGGAAGAATCCGGTCTATGGCCTCAGGTTTAATCACACTTGGGAAACCAAACCGCTCAAAAGCTTTTGTCAATGGCTGAACCAAAGTAGTTAGAACAAGGTGAAAAATCTACCATTAAATAATATCGAGGGATATTGCTCAAGTAATTAACAAACTGCAGACCCCAGGACTCGCTCATTCGCATGTGATGCACTTCATATAGTTCATCTACGAGCATAAGTTTTAGGATGAAAGACTTACTTAGAAGCTTTGCGAAATTAGGATAGTTGTACGGCAACACATGCAGGTGGACTGTTTGCGAATCCCCTGTAGCCTTCAGGTAAGCAAAAGGTGCACCACGTCCGCGATTTGCATCAACACAATAACACTGCCACACCATATTGGGATCTTTAGTACATAATCGTCTCGTCAGAGGTGATGGTTCCAACTCATATCGATCCAGGGGGAAATATTCCGGTATGTTGGGTGCAGGGAACTGTACAGATGAAATATACACTTTGGGGTGGGCGGATCGGGAGGGCTGTAACAATGTTAATGAAAAGCTACTATACTCACCAATTGGGAGGATAGTATCTCATCATCTGGCCAGTATGACTCAGGAATGGGCCACGTTGAGCAAACGCGGCCCAATATTTTGACGTACACTAATTGTTTTTGGGAGTACGAAGGCAAACAGCCGTCACCTTTCTCTGTGGAACTCTCATTTTCGTGGTTAAAATCAACGACTACTGCTGGTTGACACTGTGGAGCGAGAGATTCCAAGCATTGATGTAATTCTCTATGATCGGATACTGAAAACGCCCGACCTCCAGTGAGCACCGATGTGACTGCAATAGGTAAGCTTGTTACATCTGGTCGCTCATTCACAGAGATGACACTTTCCATAAAAGCAGGATAGCGCAAAATAAGCGAATATAGGCGGTAGTCCCATCGAAATGGTTCGACGGTAAGATTCTGGCCCAAAACCGCTGTTTCAATAGACGATAGTGATACTTCCTTATAGTGCATGGAAGCAATAAAAATAACATCAATATTACCTTGAAAATATTTTTTTCAGAATCACAGGAATTCAATCCATCTGTTAAGCAGACGATTACTGCAGGCTCAATAAATGACGGAAACATGCCCTAGAACATAAAACAACTCTATCATGAACTCACCATGCCATAATTTTCTAATCCAAGTTGCAACCGATTCAGATTCAACATTTTGAATACTCGTTGTAGACCTTCGCCGAGGGAAACACAACCACATGGCTTTATACTATTAAGAGCGACATGGAGAAACTGAAGATCCACATTTTGTTTCCAGCCAGCCAACTGAAGCAGACGCATTCCATATGTGGGTGTACAAAAACAAGATACCTTGACGTATTCACATTCCGAATCCAGAGTTAGAATGAAATAGCGATCCACACGCGACTTGCTCATCCTTATCTTAAAATATAAAATTATTGCTAGAGATAGCTAGTGCAAGGAACCTTAAAAAACAACTCCGTAGCAGTTTTTGCAATATCGAGTAGCGTAGTGCCTTGAACTGTGCGCTGGTTCATTGACGCGCTATTGTCAACCAGAAAAACAATTATCGTCATCGCAACGCCTCAAGGCCACACAGCCTAATGGACCAATAGCGACAGCGAGGAGTGACACATTAGCCAGCGGAGGCACGCCAGTGTGTTCGCGTTCAGCTGTCGCAGGCGTATTTATTTAACCAAGTAATTCTGGGAGCGTTCTGATTGGTTCATTTTGCGCCGGAGGCTCATACAGAAATTATTTATAATTTCACTTGTTTTTTTCTTAATTTTGAAGTTAATTTTAATTTTATTTCTGCCTTATACTTAAACGTATCAAAATAAAACAGATAATGTTGAGAAACTTAAATTTTTTTCGAATTTGTATCCTGAAAATTAACTTCATTTGAAAATCGAGCTTGGTGAGCCTCCCAAATTATTGATTCTACCTCGCCTCACGCCATGGATTTCGCCGCACCGTTTTCTGTCACTCCGCCCGCTATCGCTGTGATGCCGTTGAGTGTTGGTTTTCAACAGTAAATAGGTGTTAATACATCGCAGATTGTTGTTGGTTTCTCAGCCCACGAATATGAGAATTACTGTGGTTGTTTTTTAAACAAAACATTGAATGGCTAACGCTCTTTTTCACTGACCGCTTGTATGTTACTCGTAGACCGATAAGTCCCGTTGCAATTACGCGGTTTCGTATAGATATTTTAGGATATTGTTTTGTATTGTATTGTATTCAAGCTTTAGCGAGTTATACACAAGCTTTCAGCCAGAAATGGACCACCGTTACAATTCTGGTAAAAACAGGTGAAAAGGTGGGATGTGAAACGTACAAAAATATGAGTTGATTACTCAATGCATCAGAGAGCTCAGGATGAACACTTTCCCTGTCGGTCAGTATCCATGCAAGATAGAGTACCAAAGAGTTTCTGTATGCGGATATGCGAGACGGGATAAGTTTATACGTAGAACG